TGTGGTAATGGAAATTCAGAGTAATTTTTTCTATTCATTTGTACATAATAGGAAAATAAATTAAGTTAATAGTTTTTGCCTCAAAGCCCTTTATAAGTAAGTTCATTTTCCTTAGCTAGAGAGCACATTATGGGGATTTAATGAATCAAGATATAATGCTATCTGTCCCTTTTGACTGTTTTTATACTGTCGTCTGTTCTGAGAATTTGTGTTAGGAAAAGTGACCACCATGAACTTTGCTTTCAAAATTTTTTTTGGACTGTCTTCATCATACAAACCGAAGTATTGTGCTTGTCTGTATTCAGAGCTACAATCAATCACATTCTACAAAAAATCAAACCTGTTTTCCTGAGAACACAAACAACTGTGTTTTCAAAGATGGATCAACAAAATGAATTTGTTTTCAGCTCCTCTTCCTAGATGGCTCTTTGTAAAAGCATATTAGTTTGTGGTCAGTTGGAGCTGAGAGTAGGGGGGACACTTGGAAGTTTGATCAGAGATCATTTGATCATCTTTTGTAACAAAGTACGATGATTTGTTTACTGTTCAGTGGATAGCACCCTAATTGTAATAAGAGAATTTAGTTCTTCCTGCCTCCAACTTGATTTGAACCAAAAGAATGGCTTCCAGTTAATGATATGTGTGTATGCACATGCACGTGTACACACACACACACCCCCCCAAGAAATATAAAATCTCCTGTTTCCAAACAAGGAAGAACCCCAGTTCTTCCTTCAGTAAAAACGTTAGTCATAAGTGCTATTCATGAAATATTTCCATTTGTCTCCCCTTCTGGACGCCTGTTAGGATTGTACTTCCTCTTCTGCTGTGGTTGGTGAGCCATGTGAATAGTTCTAGCCAATGATTTGTGAGCAAAACTGATGTGAGCAGAAGGGGAATAAGATTGAAGTGCACCTGTGAGCCCCTCAAGAGCTCACTTGCCCTTGGGACAATGACTAGAGGAGATCATGGTGCTGTGTCAGCCTGGGTCCCTGAGTGGCCACAGTGAGCAGAGCCCGCTGCTGGCATGTAGGGACATTTGGCACGAGTGAGAGATAATCCCTTGTTGCTTTAAGCCGCTGAGATTAAGGGGCTGTTTGTTCTAGATTCTGTCCTCCCCTATCCTAACTAATCCAGCAGAACATAAACATTATTGCTCTACTTCAAGGAAAGAATTAAAATAATAATAATAACTTGGGAGATTTAAACTTTATGTTCCATGCTCATATTTGGTGAATTTTGTATTAGTTTCCAAATCTCTGATGGGCTTAGGTATATTATCTGCATTTATATTAAAATATTATATTATCTGCATTTATTTTATTTAAGATTCGCTAGTGGTTTGATTAAAATAGAAGCATTAAGGAAAGAGTTGAAGTGAAATAGAACAACCTACTTTTTAAGGAAACTGGAGATGGGCTTTAAATTGTACAGCGACCAGATATTTGTGTTCCTATAGAAAGACGATCTCTGCTCTCGTTCAGAGTTATATTCTTGTTCAGGATTGGGTCCAATGATACTGAAACTGTTTTATATGTAAACTTTCCAGAAGTAAGTATCTTGAGCTGATGTTAAGTTTCCTAAAACCAATGCATCATACCGAAATAATTACAGATATGAAAGAGCAGGATATCCTTATATGACATTATTTTTGAAATTTATGAGGTTGAACTGTATGAAATTGTTGACATTCAACTATTTTTGACCTTAAGTATCACAATTTCATATGATGCAACCTAATATTCTAAGGAACTGTATTTACAAACCAGATTCTGCAAATATTATAATTTTCATAATATAATCTATATATTGATTATGACCTATACATTAGGCAAAATCGTATTTGGCTAGACATTTCTGGTATACTTTCCTTATTCATTACTTGGCTAAAACTTTTCAAAATTCTCTTTTGATTCTGTGTAGACTTTAGGCTGATTATCTCACCTCAACTTGAAAATAGACCAATTTGTTGTACTTGCATGTTCCACAAATCTGCCCTTGTTACACTTGTTACTTGTCGCTCCAGACTGTAGCTCCAGATTTCTCTCTTTTGTTCTCATCTGGCCTCCCAAAATGTTATAACTGCTTCTCCTAGTGCTGAAGCTCTTTCTGGGGCCACTTCACGCTGATCATGGATACAGACTCTCCACTTTATTCCCCATAATACAGCTAATAGGAGAATGGAACAATTTATAACTTTATGGATAAGTTAAGGGAATTACAGTACTGCTCCTAGGAGTCCATCGGTCGTCTTCTCAAAGGGTCCCTCCTTTACCTCAACCTCTGGCTTGGTGACATAGCGCAGGCGTCTGCTTATCACTCTAGACAAGTTCATTCTATTGGGTACTTCCCTCTCCAGAGGGCAGGGACCAAAACCGCAGAAGACCAGTTGACACAATAGTAATATGACATATACAAAATATGCAGATATACTCTCCCCTTTGGAGATAGCTATTTAAATTATTAAACATGATGCCAGATGTTTTAGTCTCAAGCAACTCCATTGGGAGTGCTTCCTCAGGTAAGGTTGTTCCTCAGAACAGAGGATAGGTGCTTGACTTACCTGTCTGTGATTAAACAAAGAAATACGCTCACTAAAGTAGTAGCTTTCATATGGAAGGGGGTCCGACTCCTAGGATAAACCCTATCTCCAGAATCTCAGGATACTTATGATCCCTAAAATGTCTGGTTTTTTCACCTTTAGAATTGAAAAAAAAAAACCAACACAGAAAGCTTCTCACACCTTCTAGCTGTTTATCTCTGCTACACATAGTTGTTCATAAACACCCTGGCGTTGTTTTCATAGTCTCTCTATATCAACAAGCACTTAGTTATCTTTTGAGCAAAATATTTTGTATGAAATATTGCCCTAAAGCTAAGTGGAAAATAAGTCATATGTTACCATGCGCAGGAATTTATTTTCAAAATTGGAGACTGTGTGTATAAATTTGATGATATTTTCATGGAATTTCTCACAAATGCCAAGGCTTCTAATGTGTTGATTGCCCTTTTAATTTCCTGGTACCTATTTGTGAGAAGCTAAGATATTTCTTTCAATGAGAGTATTTTTATACAATCTAGTGTGTATTATATGTATATATTTATACACACACACACAGCCATGCACCACAAGTCATGCACCGCATAATGACGTTTTGGTCAATGATGTAGGGCGTGTACAACAGTGGTCCCAGAAGATTAGCACCATGAGCCTAGGTGTGTAGCAGGCTATACCATCTAGGTTTCTCTAAGTACACTGTATGATGTTCACACAACGACAAAATTGCCTAGCGTTGCATTTCTCAGAATGTATCCCTGTCATTAAGTGACACGTGAATGTATATATGTATCTTTATATGTTCATCTTTATAAATATATGATATGTTCATCTTTATAAATATGTGAATATATACATATATAGATGCATATTATATGTTATATACATGTATTATATATGACTGTATATATGTTATCTATGTTCATCTTTCTAAATATATGAATATATACATATATACATACATATTATATGTTATATACATGTATTATATATATTAATCTTTACTCCTATTTGTGTCATTTCTACCCCACTTTGAGAGCCTGTTGGACAGATTTAGCCTAAATATGTTTGATTTAATGACTACAGTTTTGTGTTCAAAACATGTTTCCGAATGAGCAGTGAATGCTCCAAGGACATATATAAGCAGGGCAGGATAAAAATTGCTCTCCTGTTTTGAAGGCACATGGACTGCAACATGCGAGCTTTGTCATAAATGTGAACTGACCCAAAGGCAACATAGTCTGAGTATAGGAGAGAGAAGGATTCGCCAAGTAGAGTTAGGGAGTGCTATGCCACCTGCAAAAGGTGCGTAGAACAAGTGGCTTCCTTCCACAAGCACTCATTGATTTGTTTGTTCATCAAACATGCTTTCATTGCTCATGGTGCATCAGGCATTTTACTAGGTATTGGGAAGAGAAGTATAAAAAAGTCACAGCATCTGCTCTCAAGGAGAAATTTACAGGTGAATGCTTATAAGCATGTACCAGTAATTACTAAAGGGTAGGTACTTTGGTAGAGCTACAAAGAAGATGCTTTGTGTGCAATGGTATGCATAAATGGAATGACTAAATTTAATTGGGTGAATTGGTTAAAATTTCGTGAAGAAGGTGACATCCCTGACTTCTCTCTTTCTTTCTCATTTTACATTCAATCCTATGGGATTGATCTGAAGATGTATCCAGAATTTAAACGACTGCTCACCTTCTCATCATCCTTTTCTGTTCCACAGTTAGCCCACACCTAGATTCCAAAATCTGGCTACCTGGTCTCCCTGCCTTCAGCTGTGCTCTGTGTAAAGTCTGTTCTCAACCAAGATGCCAGAATAATCCTTTGAAAAAGTGATAATATATTTTTCTGCTTAGAAGCTTCCCGATGTCTCCCCATTGTCCTCAGAGTAAAACATAAAGTCTGTAAAGTAGCATAAAAGGTTCTACGTGATCTCGTCCCCATCACCCCAACCTCTTCTCTTACTATTCTTTTTCCCCTTGCTAACTCTGCTCCAGCCTCGCTACCCACTTGCTGTTCCTCTCCTACCCCAGGCACACTCCTGTCCCAGTGTTTTTGCATGCACTGTTCCCTCCATCGTGAATGCTCTTTTCCAGGATCTCTACCTGGCTCCCTTCCTAATATCTTCCAGGTTTTCTTTTAAACAACTTCAATTTGTAACAATGAAAGTAATTTGCTATTCCAGAAACAGCTTTAGGGGAAAAACATCTTCTCTATAAAAATAAACTCATCAAAATTATAAATATTATAACTATTTAGTTCTTCGATTTAAAATGCTCCTCCATAATACTACTCCTCCCTTCAGTACCTTTCCTGTGCCATCACATATTGAAGAGAAAACAGCATTACAGCAAAGCTTGATCGTTTAATTTAACATAAGAATTTGTATAATGACTTTTTTAGATCTTTGGCCTCAGTGGCCTTTCTTCTTTCACAGATTAAAAATGCTGCCTTGATAACCAGTGTTTGGGAGACAACATCTTCAACTTTATCATATCCCATCTTGTGGAATGAAGCCCACCCCTTGACCATCTCTTTTCAAGTTGAAACTGCTCTACCCCCAGCACTCGTGCGTCTCCTTGCTCTGCTCCATTTTTTCATCATATTTACCAACCACTAACCTTCTATGTGATTTACTCGTTTATTATGTTTCATTGTTTATTGCCTATTTCTCTTCCCACAAGCTGTTGTTCATAAAGGAAGGAATTTTTTTGGTTTTACTTCATCAAAATCCTGTAGAACAGTGCTTGGCATATAATAGGCACTCAATAAATGCTTGTTGAGTTGAATGAAGGAAAAAGTGTGGAGATAAAGTGACTCAGAGGAAGGAGTAGAATGCAGAGTTAAGAAGAACTTGGAGAGATCTAAAATAATGCAGGGAGTTTCTTTTTCATGCTTGTTTTTAAAGATTAGTGTATTTTGTACTTCCTCAGTGGTAAAAGAGGAAGGAGTGATTGGGCCAGCCCCGTGGCTTGTGATTAAATTCTCAGGCTCTGCTTTGGCGGCCCGGGGTTTGCAGGTTCGGATCCTGGCGCAGACCTACACACTGCTCATCAAGCCATGCTGCAGGGGCGTCCCACATACAAAATGAAGGAAGATGGGCACAGATATTAGCTCAGTGACAATCTTCCTCAAGCAAAAAGAGGAAGACTGGCAACAGATGTTAGCTCAGGGCCAGTCTTCCTCACCAAAAAAAAAAAGAAGAGGAAGGAGTAAGTTTTTCTTCTTTGTCAAATCAGAGATACAATTTTAATTTTGTTCACTTTTTTGCTTTTCAGTAGAACCAAAGCATACTTACTTTGATGGTTTTTATTCATTCTATAATTGTTTACAGATACAAAATAAATTATAATTAGTATGAAGGGCTGATTAATTTCATAATTAAATAGCTTGACATAAGCTACTTAAAATTTTCAGTAAGTTAAAATTATTTGTGTTTCAATTAAAAAAACTTGAGTAATTACTGGAAGCTGTAGTACCGAGTGTGATGCCATCAAGTTAGAAACTAGTTCAAACGTGAGTCTCTAAGTGCAGCAAAATGTCAAGAAAATTTCATTTTTATTCCCAGTGTGATGATTTCTTGGCAGTTTTAATATTTTATTGTTATTGTTGTATGTCTTATTTTATTTTAAAATAGTTAGTTCTTATTATTTCCCGCTGCTATGTTAGTTTCCCCCCACCCCGCCCCATGAGCAGCACTGCTTATAGCAGTTGATTCTATTTTAAGCATTATGAACATTTTCCAGAAAGTTTTAACGTTTTTAAACTTTCTAAGCTATATGAAATTGCAGATTTGCTGATCTGAAGCGCACTTACTTGATTTGAAAAGTAAAAGGTATGCATGAGTGAAGAAAAATGTAGGCTGGCAAGATGGGTTGTATATAACTGTCAGGTTTCTAGAGAACAATACATATATTAATAGTATTGGATAAAGTGAAGAGAGTGCTTAGAGAAATTGTTTTCTTAACATGAAACTTTTAATATGGAGTTCTGAAAGAGGAACTGGTACGTTTTCCAAAATCTCCAATTAGAAACTATAGATACCTCTAATGCATCATGCTAAATAATCTACTGCTTGTGTTTTGTTTGTTTGTTTGTTTATTTGTTTTGAGGAAGATTAGCCCTGAGCTAACTACTGCCAATCCTCCTCTTTTTGCTGAGGAAGACTGGCCCGGAGCTAACATCCGTGCCCATCTTCCTCTACTTTATATGTGGGACGCATGCCACAGCATGGCTTGCCAAGCGGTGCTATGTCTGCACCCGGGATCTGAACCAGTGAACCCTGGGCTGCCAAGAAGCGGAATGTGGGAACTTAACCGCTGTGCCACTGGGCTGGCCCCAGCTCTGCTTGTGTTTTTAATTAGAAAACTTTTCCTCAAAAATGCTGGCTTCAAAATAGTTGTTAATTTCAAATAGCACAGGTTTTCTTCCCCCGTTGGAACTTAGCAGGATTGTTCTTTACTGGAAATGGTGTGTCTGAGGTTCAGTTTGATCCGCTTACGAATTCTGAGTAAGCAGCTTTGAGAAAGAAGTCATACTACCTTCCTCTGCCTTCAACAATCTACACACTAAAATATCCCCGAACACTGATAACCGTTTCTGGCACTTAAATAAATGCTAATCTAGATATTTTATATTTATGTCAGTATGGTTTTTATAATTTGAGAGGGAAACGTTTGGTGCTGCTTATGCTTGATTGGAATAAAAGTGTTCCTGGCTTTGCAATGTCATGTAGTTTAAAGACTATTGAAAATGAAAATGTTTTACAGTTTTCTATTCAAGATGGATTGGTGGCGCAGCGGTTAAGTTCGCATGTTCTGCCTTGGCGGCCTAGGTGTTCAGATCCCGGGTGTGGATCTATGCACCGCTTATCAAGCCATGCTGTGGTAGGCGTCCCACATCTAAAGTAGAGGAAGATGGGCACGGATGTGAGCTCAGGGCCAGTCTTCCTCAGCAAAAAGAGGAGGATTGGCAGCAGATGTTAGCTCAGGGCTAATCTTCCTCAAAAAAAAAAAAAAGATGGACAAAAGTTTTGTTATTCTACATTGGACCAGTGAGAAAGCTCACAGCTTCGTGTAGTTCATTTCAGGCAGTAGGAGAGTGATGCCATCATTAATGATGTTTTGAAGGAGGGCTAATGAAAAATGACCAAGTTAGAGCACTCTTCTTCTTTTCTTTTCTTTCTTTTTCGTTTTGTGAGGAAGCTTGGCCCTGAGCTAACATCTGTTGTCAATCCACCTCCTTTTTTTGCTTGAAGATTAGCCCTGGGCTGACATCTCTGCCAGTCTTCCTCCACTTTGTATGTGGGATGCCTCCACAGCATGGCTGATGAGTGGAGTAGGTCCATACCCGGGATCCAAAGCCCAGAAGCGGAGTGCGTAGAACCCACTTGACTCTGGGACCGGCCCCGACTCTTCTTATTTTAAATAAGCAGATTCAACCTTACAAAAAATTTCGCTCAATTTCATAGGTATTGTAAGCTATGGAATTATTAGAAATGATGGTTATTGAAAAGTTAAATAATAACACGCTAAAGCTGGATCTCATAAAACAGTGCTTCCTTAAAATAAGTAGAAGTGTTAGAAATATAAATTTGAAGTTGCCTCTAGAACCCCGACCTTGCCAAATAATCCTAGATTCTCACGATTAAAAGTGTAGGTTCTATACGTTGAAAGGACATAGCTCAAAAGTATTGTTTTAAAAGTTCTTGGGAAATATCAAAGTTGTAGAATTCAATATTTGATATTAAATGTTTAACCGATTTCGCCTATTGTCTATTTGTAGGTCTTTGCATGCTTCTCTCATTTGACACTGCCCATTGGGCCAGAAACAGCTTCAGACGTACACGTCTGCATCGTTGCCTCTTTGAACCTGTTTACTATTACAAATACACTCCATTGTCCACATTTGGCTCCATAAATAGCATGATATTCTTGTATATACTAAAGCTCTCGTGTAGCTGGGTATTTTGTCTCACAAAGTAATTATTTATATGGTTTGTGCCCTATTGGACAACACAGCCATTTGAAGAGATTTTTAAACTAGAGAAAGATGAATTGGTTAATTCCCTCTGCTCTTTCCCTGGAAGTTTCCACCATCCATTATTCAAAATGCACAAGCAACCAACTTTTACATCTGAAGGAAAAGAAGATAAGCAGGCTAGTGAGAGGGGAACTTGGGACTAGTTAAAGCCTTTGAGAGCTTTGTTATGAGCCCTGAAGAGGTTAAAATCAGACCCAGGCACAGCTTCCATCTCACTCCCCGTCTCTGAGCATCGGTTTAATGTAAGCGATAGTGAAGCTGGCTTTACTTAGTCAATATCAAATCAAAAACAGTAAGTAATGTGGCAAGATACCTGGAGAGGCATTTGGATTTGTCCCTGCACCTCCCCTGCCTTTTCTCACCTACCTGAATGTTCCCTGCCCCTTTAGTACTTGATGTATTACAGGCTTCATAAAATAACCAGACCACGGTTTAGTAGAAACCCATTATAACGCAGCTCTCTGTTAAATGGATACAAACAAAAATAGGTCAAATCGTGTTCTCTAAAGCATAAAGTGATATCCTAAGTGCTGTAGATGAAAGTCAGCCTGCCTCAGGAGATTAGCAGTGGAAGTCGGGGGGTTCCATTTCATTTTCTCTCGGTAGAGTTCTTTCCTGTTTATGTGGTGTGAGGAGATGCTTTGGACAGCTCCGACCGCCACAGGCCAGGGGTGGGGGTGTGCACATCAAGATGCCTTTCCAGAGACTGTTGAGAAGCACTTGGTGAAGGGCTATTCAATTATAGCTCTTTCACTTCCTTTCACAGTAACACTTCCTATGTTTTGTCTTTACGTTCCTGAATTCTAAATCCATAAGCCATTGGTGGAGACAGCTGAGGAGACAGCTTCACAGCATTTCTGATCTGTATTTACAACACCCTGCATACTTCTGAGGTGAGAGGCCAGCCGTGCCTTGCTGTCACCTCCTCAGCTTTTCCATTGCCCCTTCTTTTATTTTCTGTCTTTTCTTCCTATTTCTTAAGCAGCCTCATTACAGTTTGGCCAAGTTAATTGAAATACGGTGGCATGCTTGTGAGCCAGAGCATGTCCCGCGCAGTGAGCAGCATTTCTGTAGCACTAATTTGGCAGGGCTCTCTTGGGTTTGGGAAAGGCAGCTGGGAACACTTGCTTCCTGGGCAGTGAACACGCTGCGTTATTCGACCCTCTCTGCTACTTTTACTTGTTGAAATCGGGTGGGGGAAAATTCCTGGTTTTGTATTATTTTTCAAACATACATGACCACTTTTAGTTTTTTTTTCTGAAAATTGTTTTTTACACATTCATAAAAGAATAAGGCGTGATTTCTTTCGTAGTCCAGTTTAAAGATGGCAATAGAAAGGCATCCTACGGACCAGGCTGTCCAATAGAAATAGAATGCACAATGCAAATGCAAGCCGCATATGTAACTTCAAGTTTTCTATTAGCCTCATTAAAACAGTAAAAAGAAACGGATGAAATTAGTTTTAATAATGTATTTTATTTAACCCAATACATCCAAACTACTATCACTTTGATATATAAATGTTTA